TGGAAACTTTTCATAACACTTTAATTTAGAATATGTATCCACCAGCACTCATCAATTAACATATAAAGCGTAAGGTGGAATATAGTGCACAAAGGATAGAGGTACACAAGATAAAGGTGACACAACGACTGAAATTCTTCGAAGCAGGTTAACGAGAGGGATTCGATAAATATTCTTCGACGCATCTCTACTTCTCACCTTCTCCAGGTAACCTCTTTTTCACCAGAACGATAAAGAAAATGTTCGGCTGTGTAGCAACATCCACGTGCATATATCAACAGACTAAGTACATAGGTGCTACCAGGAGGATACTGTCTAGATGTGCACAATAACATTTCCCAGTATAATTGACGAAATAGGAAATTAGACAAACCAGAAGTTCAATTCTTGATCCCCTTCTTCTTACAAATCATTCCGCATCAATAGAAAAATCCTTCAAAGTAATATATATTAGCTGATGCCAGGTTGTTTGAAGGGTTTCCAGCTATATCTTGTATTCACAGCAGAAGCTGTCGCTACACACAAAGAAAACCCTGAATTGTGTATACCAAAATGGTTTGATCCAATCCCTTTCACTACCATGCCTTTAAATTTTTTCTTTCTTTTATTCTTAACTCGTACAATAATTTGATTTGCAATCCATATTCATCCGGTTTTTGTTTCTCTTTTATTCTTTCTCTTCAAACTGGCAACTTTAAAATGTACTTCATAAAAATTCTGGATCTCTTACTCTTTTGGACAATATTCTTGTTTCCAAAGGCTTGTATTAATCATTTTTCAGCGATGTTCATCACTTATTGCCTTTAGATTATGTAATTTATTATTCCTCTCGAAATTGAGATTCATTAATTTTGTTGACAACTAATATTAACACTTGATCTTATAGGGATTCCCTAACCTTTTACAACATTATGTAACTGTATAACTTTGAAGTTGAAGTTACTAAAAGTATATTCTTTGCTGACCTATGTCTTTTCGATTTATATCACATGGGTATTTTTCATACTTTAAGGTTATCAACATACTTGTGACTTCCTTTTTTCGAAGTAATCAACACGCATGCTTTCAGGTACTTGTCAGTGCCTTTATCGCCAGTATATTATTTGTTCGAAACATTTATTTCCCGATACTAATTTAAAACACAAGCAATAAAGGTTAATAAAGCAGCAGAAATGCGATGGTCTACTCGCATGATAGAGCATTTGCCAAAATGCTTGAAAACAGCTGAGTGAAAAGTGCCAAAATTCTCAATAACAAAACATCTTGTGGACTATGGACACGATAACGACGCTGTCAAGTCATTCACTATTGTCAGCAGACAAGGAAATAAGAAGATGCTTGCAATTGCAGAGGCTTGAGCAATTCGAGTTTATAAACCGGTCTCTGTGTACAAAAGGAGATGGTCATGACTCTGAATCTACCATGGTAATACGTTTTACTTATTATTCTACCTATTATTATTATTCTTGATTCATTTAAATCTATGCTTTATCCGTAAGATTATCTTAACTCACTTCAACACTATTAAAATTGTTATTATAACTATTACTATTGATATTAGTCTGTTTGCAATTCTCGTTATATTCCCTAATGACTAATTGTTTATCTAAGTGATGTAATTGAAGCGTAATGCAATTTATCTTAATTTCGATCTCTCATACTCTCTCTCTCGCCTTATCTATTTGAACATGACCTGTAAAACATTCGCACGTGTCTTTCTGCATGACTAATTCAATGTAGTTTGTTTACTTATCAGTCTTATATCTCCCACTATAATTTCAATAGAAAATATATCCGTGTATGTAGAGTATTCAGCTGACGAGCTCTACCGGAATTTGACGAATTCATTAAATCCTGCCTTATTAACCTTTATTGCTTGTGTTAAATACTATTTGTTGTTCAAGTACTACCAACAAGTATATCACAGTCTAATGTCGGAATTCAAACACTATTTGGATAACCGGTTACTTTGCCTCAAACAATGTCTTGTCAAAATATGCATTTACAGATTACAGAATCGGTTTCGTTTGAAAGCCGAAATCATTCAGACCACGATATAAATGTTATCTGTATGATGGCATAAACTTTGACAAGATTGTATGTGAAATTAATAAAGCGGTAAGTGGTGAGAAAATAGACTTAGGTCAAGTTAAGAGGACATATTCAAGGTCAAAATAACAATGAAGACCACTAAACCAAATAGCAGAGGTAATAGTACATCTGCTATGGTATCAAAATAAAATTTACCAAAGAAGGTTTAATGTGATGACGAAATGTTTTTGAGCGCATAAGGTGGCCTAAACTTTCTAATTGCTAGGGCTTCCACGAAACTTTATGAACAAATGGAATCATCAGAACCTATTAACGGTGAGAACAGGAGACCTAGCTCTTCTATTGCGAGACATATTATACAGACAGGACATGAAATTGATGTTTGCACGTCTTTTAAACCCATCTATAAAACGTATTTGGGGTATATCTTAAAGTTTGTGGAAGCCCTAGCAATTAGAAAGTTTAAGCCACCTTTATGCGTTCAAAAAGAATTCGTCATCACATTAAACCTTCCTTGGTAAAGAGTGTATGCACTGGAATTTCCCAGCCCATACTATTATCATTCCCTTGTGTTCTGAATGGAACATAAGGCTTCAACGGCACATATCTATTTTGTCCGGTTCTCTGGAATCCTCTTTTACTGACTGCACGATTGCCCATAAGCTGTCATCTCCTCCCACATCTTTTTTGGACGTCCAACTCACCTGTTTCTCATTGCAGTTCCACCACAGCGATAGTCTAGCTTGCGATGTCACCCAACAGTCTTCTCAGCGTTTGTCCCATCCATCTCCGTTTCATTCTGTATATTTCTTAAACAATAAGTTCTCGGTTGATTCGGTCCCAGAGGTCTTTGTCCCTAATCCTTTCTGGCCATCTCATCTTCAGTGTGTTGCAAAAGCAGCTGTTGATGAAAACCTGAAGGCTTTTTGAATTAGGCTGATAAAGGTTTGCGGCGCTCCATAGTGTTGAAGTAGTTTCCAAATTACTTTACGATCAACGCTGTTGAAGGCCCTTTCAGAGTCGATAAAGTTAAGGTAAAGATTTGACTGCCATTCTATGCGCTGTATTTTGATGATACGTAAAGTTGCGATTTGCTCCGCACACAATTTACTTTTCTTGACTCCAGCTTATTCCGGACGAAGTTCTGCACATCTTTTATTCTTTTCAAGATGGCCCAACTCAGTATTTTACTTGGAGTCGACGAGAGCGTGATTCCGCGCCAGTTCTTACAGAGACTTAAGTCGTCCGTCTTTGGTAGTTTCACAAGGTAGCCTTTCTTACAATCAGCAGGTACTTTTCTTTCCTTCAGAACCTGTCTCCATAGTGGTTTCAATATATTCTCTGCGGTCTCTGGATCCGTTTTCAGTGTTTCATGGGAATTCCGCTCGGTCCTGCTGTCTTTCCGGTTGGCTTTTAGCAGCTTGGTCGCATTTAAGATTTCTGCTTTCGTTGGAAGACTGGTGTCCAATGGCAGGCAGTTCTGTGCGTGCTGTTGTTGGCAGTGTATTTCTGGACGAGTTGCAGGTGATGGTCGATTGAAGAGTCCTTTAAAGTGATCAGCCCATTGTTTTATTTATTTCTCCTCCTTGGTAATCTGGTTTCCTTGAACATCTTTTATTGGTCTCAACATCTGAGTTGATCTCTCCTCGGAAAGAGACCTGATTATCTCATATAATGTTCCAGGTTTCATTTAGCTGAACCCTGCCTCTTCTGCTTCATTTGGTGGTGTGTCGTAGAATTGTCTCTTGTCTTTCATATCACTCTTCTTCACCTCTATCTTTATTCAGTGCAGCGTACATTGAACTCAGCCTCTCCTTCTGTTGTCCATCTTTGCATTGAGTCATCTCTTTCGTCACCCTTCTCTCCTCGATTACCTCCTAGGTAGGCGCCTTTTTAGAGCCATTCGTTGTCTTGCTTTGTCTCTTCTTTCTCCCTAGAACAGTTGTACACTTTCCCTCAAATGTCAACTTCAGAGAGTTTCAGTGTGCCTCCACACAAGTCCCTTCAGTGATGCCACGTAGTTTCTCCGACTTTGCAGTGAAGATATTTTTCGTAGTTTCGACCTTAAGTTTCTAAATGTTGAACCTGAGTCGTCGTCTACCTCCAGTGCAATCACACTGGAGTCAACTAAGATTTCTCCGTTCACACACAATTCATAGATATGAATAGTTAGAAGTCAATTACACCGACTAGAAGTGCAAGTTAGTCATTTGTCGGTGGATTTAAAGTATGATTACCGCGAATGACTCTAAGGGGTTCCATTTCTTTTGAAGTGAGTCATTTTAAGTACACTATCGATAAACTAAACACCGAACAAGTTTGACAGTCTTGTAGTGTAAATATCACCTTCATCTGACTAGCAAACGCTACTAGATGTTGTCATTGGTTTCAAACCACTCACACTAATTTTCTCTTACCTTATTGATACTTTACTTTACAATGTAAGTTAGTCAGCTAGAACTCAGTTAATCGGAACAGATCTTTCTTGCACTGGACTATGAACCACACTTATCATGTGAGGTCTAATGATTCTTCCCAGCTGCTTAGAAAGAAGCAGATAGAATGAAGACTAAGTGACGGAAATTCAACTGCTTAAGCCTAAGATGCCACATCTTCACCCATTCACAGTGACACGCATATAGACCATAAGTGTGGTCGGTGGCACAGTGGTTAGGACTCTCGACGGCCATGCACATGGTCCGGGGTTCGAGCCCACACCGGCGCACACCAGATATCTATAGTCGGCCTGCAAAATTTGGGCTACCGATATCCATGCTGAAAATTCCATACTTGTACCGAAAATACAGTGTGGAATCAAGCTGTAAATCAAAAATCAAAAAAAAATGTAAAATTTTAGAAACATCCAATCACACCTATTTTTTTTAAAAAAAAAAGAAGTTCAAAACTCTTTACATAACAATAACAAAAGTGAAATTAACGTTGCTTACCTTTTCACGACTCATTTTATCTGACATGACAATAATACAACGATAGCCTTTAATTGCAGCCACAAGAGCTAAACCGATGCCTATTGTCCAGAGAACAAGGAGAAGAGTAGGCAGAAAAACTGAATAATTAATACAATTGGTGTAATAATGAGAATAAATACTAAATGTGCAATTAATAATATAAGAATAGAATTTGGGCATTGTAATTAAATACAGTTACATATATTAGATAGGTTAATCTGATATAACACAGGATATTATACAGTGTTAATAAGCAGATGAGTTTCCCAGCGTAATTGATTATGTGATGTCTGTTAGTTTTGTGAAGAAAGTAATACGGTGAACCGATAAAGATACTCTAGAATACCTGAACTTTGTGGATGATTTATATCTAATGTCATACAAACTCGAAGACCTACAGGGGAAAACCGATAAAATGACTCAAGAAGCAAGCAACGAAGACGGAATTTTAGGTGAACACAGAAAAGTTGGAAGTGGTGAAGATAACCAATTAAAAATCAGCACCAATCACCATCAACGGAAGATATTTGAAAGAAATTACCTCCTTCACTTATATGTAGGAAGCAGAGTTTCAACTCTGCGTCGGTGGCACAGTGTTTAGGACTCTCGACGACCATGCACATGGTCCGGGGTTCGAGACCACGCCGACGCACACCTGATATCTATGGTCGGCCTGCGAAATTTGGGCTACCGATATCCATGCTGAAAATTCCATACTTGTACCAAAAATACAGTGTGGAATCAAGCTGTTACCAAAAATAAATAAAATAACTACATTCAGTCGAACCGAACGAAGATGTCACAGCCAGCATGGATCGGAGAGGCAAGATACGCCTTCATCAACCTGAAACCAGTCTGGAAATCTTCTACACCCAGCAAATAGAGCAAGATTCTCATTTTCAACACAAATGTCAAGTCGGTCAGTGTTTCTTTACGGTTCAGAAACTATCCCTGCCTGTCACGAAAAGGATTTCCAACAGGTTCCAGACTTTCATCAATAGCTGCCTTCGCTGACCGGCTTTATGTCTGTCTGGATTCAACATAGAACTTGACACCGAAGTGCAGCAGTTCGAGTTGCCACGTTCCAAATAGCACACAGAGGTAGACAAGAAGATGAGTGAAGAGAATCAATAGAGTTTGACGAATATAAGAGTGAAACAGAATGGGTAATGGTAGAAAGGAATATGAAAGATTACAGAGATTGAATACATCTGCGCCATTGACAACGATTTTGAGCCATGTCACCTATTGTCTCCAGCCATTGATTCCTAGAGTCCCGAGGGCCCCAACCCGGGAGTCTGCATCTCCCTACCTGACTCAGTTTAACTGTCAAGGATTTCATGGATTGATGAGGCCATGTTTTTGTTTGGCCACCACTGGCTCTTTTCCAACCTGAACCTATATCAGCTAGCAATGCCCGTCGGGGGAGGCGGTGGTTAGGCATGCGCAGCACGTGACCTAGCCATCTTAGTCTATGTAACTTTATAGCCTCGTCGATTGATTTTCCCTCTTTGCCCAACACTCTACGCCTAACGTCAACATTACTTACCTTATTAAACCACCTAACGTGAGACAGAGATCGCAGACATCTATGATCGAAAGCAGTCAACCTTTTCATGTCTTCAACGCGTATTGGCCATGTTTCAGAGCCATAGAGAAGGACGGAGCGAACTGATGAGCAGTACACACGTCCCTTGGTTGATAACCGGATGTCACGCCTACGCCAGAGATGGTGTAAGTCAGCGAAAGCAGCTCGAGCTTTTCGGATCCGTGCTGAGATTTCATCGCCAATCAGTCCGTTGGTGCTAATACAACTTCCCAAGTAGGTGAAGTGGTCAACATGTTCTATCACTTCACTCCCTATCACTAAGTTAGGGGTTGACGTGGTCCAGTCCTGTAGCAGCATCTTACATTTTGCAGGGGCGAATCGCATGCCAAACATACGAAGATTGCTGCTCAAGGTGTTCAGAAGACTCTGCATTTTGTCAGCATCCTCCCCTAACAGGACTATGTCATCTGCATATTCTAAGTCCATTAGATTATTCCCTGGTAACAAGTCGATTCCTAAGTCACTACGTTCAGTTAAGGATACTTCCATTAGCATATCTATGATGAAGTTAAACAGAAATGGGGAAAGTGGACATCCCTGTCGGACACCACTGGTTGTTACCAATTCAGATGACAATTCCCCATAAGCCCTTACACGACTACGTGAGTTTGAATAGAGTGCCTTGATTAGTGCAATGTACTTTCTTGGCACTCCCTTCACAGTCAGACATTGCCATAGTACCTTTCGATCCATGGAGTCGAAGGCCGCCTTCAAGTCAAGAAATATGGCAATTGTTGGACGCCGAAAAGTGTGTCTATGTTCTAGAATCTGTCGAAGAGTGAAGATATGATCTATGCACCCTCTACCTGGTCTAAAGCCTGCTTGATTTTCCCTTGTCTGTTCCTCCCGAGTTCTGCTTAGTCTATGCATGATTACTGAGCCTAGGATTTTAGAGACTATGTTCGTTAGGACCGGCTTTATACTGAAGATCAAATGTGCAGAAAGAATTAGTGACAAGAAACTCTGAGAAAGAACCAATAAAGAAGCTACTGACCGACAAATATGTCAAAGAAAGTGGAAACCGTTCGGACACACGCCAAGAAGACCGTCGGATGACATCGCTGGCCAGGGACTCCAGTAGAATCCAAATAGAAGTCGATGAATGGGGCATCCGAGGGTGACACAAAGGAAATCATGTGACGAGAAGATGAGACTATGGGCAATAATGGAGCCAGATGAAGAAGAGTTCAGAAAACAGGAAAAAATGGAGTTGTACTATTGAAGCCCTATGCTCCACTCGGATTCCAAGGGAATAATTATATTTTCTAAAACATATCATTGTGAAGATATTATTTCGTAGATAGGAGTTAGCGGTGGAATCCAGGATGTACGTTTTGTCCCATCCCGAATTCGCCATTGGGTTTGTCCGCATCATTCTCAATCATTGATGATGTTCCCACTGAGACTCGAACAGAAAATAATTATGAGTGGTAAATTATGCTCAGAATGTCTTTTAATTATTAACAGTACATCACCAGATATTATATCTAATACACTCATTTTTGAAAGTGTAGTTCGATTCTAGGTATCATGCACCTTGTTAGATCACTCAAATTAATAAGGCCTCATTCATTTGAGACTTTGCCTGTAATTTAGTCAGATAAGTTTTGCACACTTTCTCCACATGTCTGATATGTACAGTCAAATACAAGGTAAGAAACGAAAGATATATATATAAGAAGTGAAATATCCAATCAAACTGAGAAGCCATTGGCTATATGCCCATATCTATCCATTAACTGGATGAAGAAACCAAAATGGTTACTAAATTGTTCTGTTCAAGATGATGTAAAGTAAATTAAGGCATCAGATAGATGGAGGTAATCGGTAGGAAACCTTGTCCCTAGGTTTCGTGCTAGTTGGCACTCAGTAGTAACATCTCTGACTGCAGCACTGGGTGACGCCAGTTCGAATCTCAGAAGGGACATGAGTTTCTTCAAGGTTGCAGATACGCCTTGCTGACTGGTAAGTGTCAACTAGCACGAAACCTAGGTCAGGCGAGGCTTCCTGTCGATTGTCTCCAACCATCTAATATCATCAAATCAATGTGCACCGTGATGGCGAGTCATCTAGAATGGTGGCCAAATTGCAAACCTGACTGATAGAATTCAGTGTGTACCAAAGAAAGGACTAGACACGTCACACTAGTTACACTAGTGTCCAATCAAAATAAATTAAGGCATATTTACTGATTATCACTACTGCATTTATTGGTATAATATTAACACTGCATCCTCCAATAAGCATCAAATATATTTCAATCACTTTAGTCACTTAGATTTTATCACTACACCAGTCTCATATAAGTCGTTGCGCTTCATTTATTCTCTAAAATATTACTATCACTACACTCAATTTCACAAGTGAATCAAACACTGGTTTAACTGGCTGTGGGTTTTAAGTCTCAATCTACCTACTCCATCATGGTCAACTGAGAAGTGTAACCATCCCTCACATGAAAAGTGCAGCTGATGATAGCCTGAAAAGTAAATGATCCATCTGAAGTAAGTGAATTCAAATAAATATGAATTCAGTTAGGCGTCAGTATTAATAATAAAGAAAGAATCTAATACATCCTGCAGTAAGGGATTTAATTGTTTAAATCAAAGAAAGTTTGTCTAGTTGCATAATAAGATAGGGATACATATGAATAGGATAATGTGTAGAGTGCAAATGTAGTCTGGTTAAAAAATCTAATCCGTGTTTTAGTAGTTCCCTAAAGTACCTAGTTAGAACACATGAGACAGGCATGATTCATTTCTCAAAATTGAATCAATTCAATTAGCTTATCTTTAAATGAACAGACCAGTTAAAGAACGGTGAGACCACACTGACTAGGCTACTGAGTACTATTTACCGAAGTGAAAAATGAAGAATTATTCATATCAATGAATTCTGTGTTCTGAATGACTTTACATTCACAATTCTAGCTGCATTTATGATGAAAAGCGGATTATATTTTCAGGTCTCAACGTTTCACTGTTATCAAGCCAATCATTATGAAATTCTTTGATTCAATTTCACTTAAATATGTTATTCCTACTTTGGTTTGTGTAATTTGCCTCAGACATGTTATGCAGATGTAAACTGACAACCAGAACTGACAAATGCTGAAGGTCCAGTTGGTCAGTATGATTAGATTGTACAGCCTGAAATGATAAAAGGATGAAAACTTCATGCGATAATGAGTGATACTGGCAGTGAAAAATTTGTCCTATGACATCCAAACATTTTCTTACTTCTTAAAATATACTATTGATGATAGTCTTTATTCTGAAAACCGAAAACAATTTACCTTTAAGTTTTCAAGTTTTGGCTCAATAGGGTTTCGACTGATTTCAAGATTGATCATGGAGTGTGACTACAGTTAGAGTGTGGTGAGAGCAGCCTGCTAGCCAATTGGTTGACATTAATCTACGTCAATCTCTAGGTCACTAATATGGGCCGTGA